GGGATGGAATAAAGAAAGGAATGACAACAAGAAGGAAGAGATGGAGAGAGGAGGAAGGGATAAAGAAGGAAGAAGGGAGGGAGGAAGAAGGAAGGAAGGAAGAAAAGTTTAAGTGAAATGGAAGGAAAGAAAAAGGACAGGAAGGAAGAAAGAAAGGAGGGAAGCAAGGAAGGATGGAAAAAGGGAGCGTGGAAGAAAGGAGGGGGGAGAAAAGAAGGAAGGAGGGAGAGGGACAGATGAAGGAAGAATGAGGGAGGGAGGAAGAAAGGAAGCAAAGTTAAAGTGAAAGCAGAAGAATTACTTTAACATTCCAGCGTCCCGCCACTCAGCAGCAGATGTGGCGCAGGCAGCTGTTTCAGCTGTGAAACCTCCCTGCCGACTAACTCGCCATATCTCCTTTTCCTGCAGACATAAACGAATGTGAGGACATCAGCGACAAGGTGCCCTTGTGTCAGAACGGGCAGTGCACCAACACAGAGGGATCGTACAAGTGCACCTGTTTGCCGGGCTTCGTGGCCTCTGCCAAGCCACACAAATGCATCCCAGCGATCCCAGAGTCCGAGCTCGGGGAGACAGGAAACTAAGACAGTAACTGTTGGAGCGCTGGCTTTTCCTGCTCCCTTAAAGATCATCTTACACCCCTCTGCCCTTTTCCCCAAGGGCCTGGCACTAAACCTCCAACAGTAACGCTGAGACGTCCAAACTTTCCCTATGTACCACTCACACATACGCAGACAAAAAACACACACACTTGCATTCAGCACAGACACACATGCAGACCCCCTCATACACACTCAAGAGGACCAGGAATTGTGCAGTGAATGTATTACATGGGATTTAGTATTCAGCAGATATCCATTTGCCTTAAAGGGATTTGTGGACTGATATTTTTTATTCAGTAACCCCTGGCAATTTGATGTGCCGATATATTTTCCGCATTATTTTCTCTGTCACTTTTTTCTTTTTATTGTGTTATTTATTTCATTTACATGACGGGCCTCTGCAAACTAAGAAAGCAACCTATTTCAGAGGGCATACTTGATTCCTCCCTTGTTTTATTCGTCATGCCAATTGACCTCAGAGACAGTGTGGGGAGTTAGTAAATGTATTTTGTAAGAGAAAGAAGGAACGTCATAAGAAATCAGCCACTCATAAATCAGCTTCTGCTTCACTGTCAAACCCTCTCACCAATATTATCTCACTCAGTCATTGTAATTAGCATTGACCTTGGACTAAATGGATGCCAGGGATGACAAACCATCAGAAATCCAAGTGAGAACTTTTTCCACAGCTGCCTTTGTATTCTTCAAGATTAACTAAGAGCTGAAGAATCTCTGGACCACGAACTGGGAAGTCAACACAGCCAGACTTACACGTAAAAACTTCAGTCGTTACATGGACCTGGAATGACTGTAGATGTATATGATGATCCATGTAATGTTTTGAAAAAGGTGCAATAGGTATAACCTGCCTTCCTCTGTTTGACACCACTTTTACAATCTTAATACCAGCAATGAAAAACATGGACTCTGAGTTGCTGATTCCGATTTTTCTTTTTCTGTTTAACAGTATTAACTTGTTTTAAACTTTTACTGTAAAAACCATAAGTACCATGACTTATCGGAGTTTGATTCTAGGTTCTAGCCTAACTTCTGAAACCACAGGAAGGTAAATTAGTTTAAATGATCCACAAGTGTCACTGCTTAAAGTGAAAGATTGGTTTTATGTACCAGTGTCACACAGGCAAAAGGATTTTACATTCAACTGCAATGCAATTGTATCCCAGATCTCACATCAGACCATTCCCATGTGTGCATCTCTGAATGCATGTAAAGACAAAGGCTTCGTTGGAGAGGTTTGGTATATTTTGTACAGATCTAGTACTATGTATTATTTTTGTTACATATTCTCTTAATGCATTATAGCGCAACCAATATTTTGTTTGACATAAAGCATAAAATGTAAGAAAATCTGGCATTATAGCTTTGTAGATTTATACATGTCTGTAAAAATGTCTTTTAAAGCATACCTTTTAATGTATGAGGAGAGTGGCTGACACTGTACCAGAGGAACTGTGTGTATACCCTGCCCTGTGGAGCAGACAATGAAATATATTTTTTGGAAGTGGCAGCACTGTTCTAATTACAGACATTTTGTCTCTTCAAGTTCATTACAAAGATAATGCTTTTGAAATGCAAGCACCAACTTCTGTGCATCACACTTTTATGGCTAAATATTAGTATTGTTAACATTATTTCTTTTAGTCCCTGTTGGATCCTTAATGTCATGAATGTATCACAGACAGTATCAGCCTACTCATTTGGTTTCTAACTTCCCACTCATACCTTTCTGTCTTTTGTATCCAGGTTTTTAGAAAATAATGGCATTATTTGTCTAATAATGGACTGAACTTCTCTCAAGAAATCTCAGCAGCACAGAAACATAAAAGTCTAAATCTAATATTAGAAAATGACTAAAGTTGATGACCTCTGCCCTTCCCATTCCTTCATAACCTATAAACCTACAGGTGTACAAATGTTTCAATTTCATGTTCATTTATTTTACTGTGCTCTTTGAATCATCGCCTGAACCGGACCAGGTCACATTTAGGTCAAAGTTGGAATATTTAAAGCCTTTCAAACCGCAAATAACATGAGATAAATGTCTTGTTGTAAAGCTGTGGTCATTGGAAATATCATGCTCATTCATTTTGTTTACCTCTTGACTGTAATCACTATCAGTCAATGAAATAAAAACGTAAAAATATCAATCTCTTTGGTGATTTACTCTGAAAAATACCACCCAACACACCTTGCAGTTACTATGTGTAAGTTTGTTATTTGTATTAAAACAAGAGAAGTAAGTTTGTTAGCTGTAATTTGTAGCACAATATGACTACTAGTTGTAATAAAGGCATTAGGTGACATTTTTACACCAAGCAGTGTACTTCTTGAGCACTTTGGTGCAGGTATGTAGGCTACATGGATTGCTGGCACAATATTGTAATATTGTGTAAGTAAAAGTAGTGCTACTACTTTCTTTTACTTCAGTACTTCAGTCCTTACTTGATATATTAGCAGAATAAATACCTTTAGTAAATACTAATATTATTGGATTATTGAAGTATAATTTTTATACATTAGTATGTAAGCATGATTTTAATATAGCAGTGGGTCAAGGCAGTGCTAATTTGAATTTGACCTACCCATATATTGTTTGTTAATTTGATCCATCACAGTCTATCACATGATCTATGCAACAGTGTCAAATCTGAATCTGCAAAGTAGCTCTGCTAAAAAATATAGTGCAGTAAAAAGTACAACATTTTCCCTCTAAAATGCTGTGATTATTACATCAATAGAAAATAACAGAAAATAGGTACCTCAAAAGTGTACTTCCATTACTTGAGCAAATGCAGTTAGTTTATCATTGACTGGTGTTTGGGTATGAGGCACAGACTTTATATCCTCAAGAGAACAGACTATAAATAGGTCTGGGGACCGGAAATGCCGATCAAAACATGTATTAACAAAATCTCATAAACAACATTTTTTTTTAAAAAGAAAGAAAGAAATGAACGTTAAAATATTTTGTTATACTCTGTCTCCCTCTAGTGGTCACATAGATCTGCACTCAACAACACTCATCTTTCCCAGCTTTTCCATAGTTTTTTCCCATTGGCTAACCGGAGAAGAGGAGATATCCCAGAAGGATTCTGGGAAACTGTGTTTACCCTGCGATACCATACCCAAATACATAACACAGCGGAATACACCTCCCAGAAACCACTTCGCTTCATACGTGTTTCGTTGGGTCGAGCTACAACCTCTGGTGCTCTCGCTGTGTTGCTAACATTAACAGTGTGTGGGTTGCTAATGTAAATCTCTGAGTAATAAAACGCTCATTTGAGGCGATTTGTATCGTTGTTTTGAATGCCGCCATTGTACGAGTGGATACTTGTATCAAGCTAGGATAAGTATGCTATCGATGGAAATGTCTCAATAGCTTGGCGACAATGTAACACATATTATGTCTGATAATATGTTGAGTTGGAAGGGTGTCACATTCACTGTCAATATCGCCTGTTTTGAGATATTGAGAGCTGATAGCTGCTGCTCCAATATTAAATATAGTTTAGTCTAAATGTAGTGTGAGACAGCACAACTACACATCATCTAGATATCACTTATTAACTAGCTGTTTGTATGATATGATTAGGTAGTGTTATAGATATTAGACTTGCCCGTCTTGGAAGGGGCTCTGGTCATTTTATTCCAGGTATTACGTCCTAATGGCAAAGGAAGAATGCATAACACAGTGGAACAAAACAGGGGACACCTCAACACTACGAAACAGGAAAATCTTTCCCACCTCAGAAAAGACCCCATCGACTGCTTTGTCAAAGGACAAAAGCAGTCAGCATTTGTCAGGAGATGACACCCAGTCCTCAAATGGGACATCTGCTGAGTGGTCGGCCAGAGCTGTCAGTAAGGAAGCCCCGAGCAGAGTGCTGCTGATGCTGGTTGTGGGGCTGTCCTTCTCTACACGCCTCTACAAGATCACTGAGCCCCCTCATGTGTGGTGAGTTCAAATAATCTGCACAAATGGATGTGGATTTTGTGCATCTTGGTGAGCTATTTTTTTTTACACGATGACTGTTTCTGGTGTTTCAGCTGGGATGAGACGCACTTTGGAAAGATGGGGAGCTACTACATCAACAGGACCTTCTTTTTTGATGTCCATCCTCCTCTTGGAAAAGTGAGATGGCAGATTATCCCTCTTGTGTGGGCTCAGTTGTCTTCAAGGAAACCTCTACTATATGAGTATTGATCTCCTTTACTCCGTTGCAGATGCTGATAGGCCTCGCTGGTTACATGACGGGTTATGATGGCACCTTTCCTTTTATAAAACCGGGAGATAAATATGAACACCACAACTACTGGGGGATGAGAGGGGTATGCTACTTTCCACACTGGAAAACATGCTCTTTTCTAGTTAATGAACTCTGCATCTGCAACTTGTCATAACTTTTAAAAGGACAAGAGATGTTAAGGCTGCTGATGTGTCTGTCCTGCCTCTTGCCCTGCAGTTTTGTGCCGTGTTAGGCTCCTTTCTCCCAATCTTTGCCTACCTCATAGTGCTGGAGTTGTCTCAGTCTCACACTGCTGCTCTCATCACTGCCACCCTGCTCATATTTGGTGAGTCACCATCTGTTTGAAAGGGCTGCACAACTCAAAAACATGTTAAAGTTGCAATAGACTAACTACTCTACCTCCCAATGCATTTCCAAATAAGCCATTCTTTCCATTTCATTGTATGCCTCTCTTACTGATCTTACTAACAGCTATTTTGATAAATATGAGAATACGAATAAGAATGTGTATTTCAATGTCATATCACTCAGTGCAACAAAATGCCTATCAGGATGCATTAATCCGGTTGTAATAAGGAGAATTATTTTATATGTGCTTAATTTCACCCTCCTGACAGACACGGGCTGTATCACGATTTCCCAGTACATCCTGTTAGATCCCATACTCATGTTCTTCATCATGGCAGCAGTGCTGAGCATGGTCAAATTCAACCAGCAGAGATACAGGTAAGACACCTTGAGAACTTTTATATAGGTTTTTTCAATCTTGTTTTATGCAATGTAATAGTGGAACTATTAGATGATTAATCGATTAGTTGGTCAACAGTAAGTTAATGTGTGATTGTTTTGATAGTCAGTTAATAAGTTACTCATCAATTTATCCTCAAATTAGTTCAGGTAAAAATGCTGCACATCTGCTGGTTGCAGCTCCTCCTCACACCATTGTAAAGTGATTACTGCAGATTCTTCTGTCAAAGTAAATCGATTTAAGACCTTGCTTTGGTGTTTTGTGATGGACATCTGTCTTTATTTAGGACAATATTTGTATTATTATTATTATTATCATTATTATTATCATTTAGGTGACGCAATAATGAACTGATAGCTTGAAAGAAAATGAAATAAATCAGTATGATGAAATAACTGTAGTTACAGTCCCACAGCAATATCAGTCTATCCTCCAACAAGGACTAATCTTGCTCACAATGTTTAAAGGGTGTTCTATTGGCATTCTATACAAGCAGTTTGTCTATGCTTTTGTCCACTAGATACACATTTGCCTCTTTCTTGCTTGCTGTTGTTTTCAGGCCCTTTACTGCCTCCTGGTGGCTGTGGCTGCTACTGACTGGTGTAAACCTTGCCGGGGCGTTGGGGGTGAAGTTTGTGGGTCTGTTTGTCATCTTGCTGGTGGGACTGAACACAGTCTGGGACCTCTGGAGACTTTTGGGAGACTTAAGCCTCTCACTGGTGAGTGGCTGGTTAACTGACTGTTGATGAGTAATGCTCGAGGTTTGACTGTATTTTCTGACTCCAGGTGGAAATCGCCAAGCACTTCCTGGCTCGGGTTGTTGGACTCATCCTGCTTCCCCTCCTCCTCTACATCACAATATTCGCAGTCCACTTTGTTGTGTTGAACAAAAGGTGAGTCTGATCACTGTATTACAGATACAGTGTGATTACTGCTCATCTCACAGAATACTGCGTGGTGACATCTGGCTTTTGGGTAGTCATGATTGTTTTCTCTCACCAGTGGACCAGGAGATGGTTTCTTCAGTTCAGCCTTTCAGTCCCGTCTAATTGGGAACAACCTACACAATGCATCTATGCCTGAGTGTGAGTCCCAAACACGCGTGAATAAAACCACATGACTCTGCAGCTGTGTTTACTAAAACACTAATAAGAAAATGGAAAAGGAGGTCAAAGAGAAATGTAGGCATTCCTTAGTACTGATGACAATCAGATGGGTTTAAACGTTTGCTTACATTTTACTGCCTTCATAAACATCAGGTGTTTTTATTAAGGCTTATTGTTCTTTTTATGCTCAGGTCTGCTATTGGCTAGTGTGGTGGCTTCTTGCCACTTAAAATGACATTAAAAAAAAGTATTAAATATATTTTTTTCTTGTGTTTCTTAATGATGTGAGGCAATATCTCGTTGTTCTTCTGATGCAGATCTGGCATATGGCTCCACCATTACTGTAAAAAACCTCCGTATTGCTGGAGGCTATTTGCACTCTCATTGGCACTTATACCCAGAGGGAGTGGGGGCAAAGCAGCAGCAGGTCAGACTATAAGAGAGCTGAGTGTGAAACATTCTCAAATATAATTAAACATGCTAATATCCGTCATTTATTCCGAATAAACGGTGTTTTCTGCTATTTCCTTACAGGTGACTGCCTATCTCCATAAGGACTACAACAACTTGTGGCTGGTTCACAGACATGGTGATAATGAATGTGAGAAGATGGGGTTGATTTACTGTTTAGAAATACCAATAGCCTTCTTTTAAGTGATAGGGAAGTAATGTATGAGCCTCTTATTGTTCGTCTCTGTTCTTTATTTCTCTGTTTAGCTCAATCTGGGACACCTGATCTGGTTCGTCATGGTGACATCATTCGACTGGAGCACAAAGAGTAAGTATCATGACTAGCGATGCACAATATGAAAAAAAAATAGAAATCATCTTTATTTTGACAGATATTACGATTGTGATATGATTCACGATTGGTGGGAATGATCATTCTTGCATCCCAATTTGGACATATTTGGATATTACATTTGGCCTTATTGCGATTTTGATAATATCAGCATAATATTAAAAAATAATGACCTAATAATGACTCCACAGAACAGTAAAATTAAAAAGAAAACTTATTTAAAGGATTCGGTGTCATTGCAATCCAAATTTTGTGCATGGTTTTTTTTTCAATAATACAATGTTTCCTGGTCCTATCAGAACAACCCGCAACCTTCACAGCCACCTCCATGAGGCCCCTTTGACCAAGAAGCACTTCCAGGTTACAGGCTATGGCATTGTGAGTAGGCCCAATACATAAAGCTGCACTGAATCGAACTCTTCACTGTGTTCTGGAGATGCTAAACTGTGAATTGAACATTAAATTACAGTCATTATGTGTTTGTATGTCTTAAAACACATCTCCACATTTGGCCTGTTCTTAGAATGGCACAGGTGACACCAACGACCAGTGGCAGGTGGAAGTGTGTGGAGGTCGGAAGGGCGACCTGGTGAAGGTGCTGCGTAGCAAAGTTCGCTTTCGGCACAGAGCTACCGGCTGTGTGCTTTACTCCTCTGGCAAGACTCTCCCAAAATGGTAAAACTAGTCTTCTCTGCTCTGACTCTATGCTGTTTCTCTTCAAGATTCATTATGTGTGTAGACAAAGAGGTTTTTGTTTCTGCTCAGGGGCTGGGAACAGGTGGAGGTGACCTGTAGCCCCTACTTGAAGGAGACTCCGAGCTCTCAGTGGAACATTGAAGATCATATTAATCCCAAATGTACGTTAAACACATTCCTTGTGCTGCTGTGTTTTTGTCTGTACTTCATGATGTTAGACTCTAACCAACATGGTACTTGTGCTCTTGTGTGTTCTGCCAGTGCCCAACATTAGTTTGTCCGTGCTGAAGCCCCATTTTCTGGAGATCTTACTGGAGTCCCACATTGTTATGATAAGAGTAAGAAAGAAAATATGTACATCTGTGCTAAAGGAATATATTTTACCAGAAAACATTTACTGACATAAACAATGTATTTATAGGGAAACAGTGGCTTGAAACCTAAAGACCATGAGATGAACTCAAAACCCTGGCATTGGCCCATCAACTATCAGGTGCATTGAGTTATCTACAATATAAAGTTTATTTTGGAAAATTCTAATAAAAAGCACTGCGTTTAACTCAAATGTTCTTGGTTTGTTTCTGTAAAGGGATTGAGGTTTTCTGGAGTGAATGACACAGAGTATCGTGTTTACCTGCTGGGGAACCCTGTAAGTTTTAAGCTTGCTGCAGTTTTCCTGTTGTCGCTGTTGTCTCATCACTGCACATTAACGCGCTCATGATTGAATACTCTTTCAGGTGGTGTGGTGGACGAACCTGGCCAGTTTGGGATTGTACATTATCATGGTGGCAGTGGCGTCTATAGCTCTCCAAAGAGGTTTCTCACTGGGCCAAAAGAGAATAGGTGTGATTATTGACACATACATTTTTGCACTGACTTATCATGGCTGCAGCATGAGTGAAAAGATTATTTAGATTAAATGTTCTGTCTTAAATGTTCCTCTGTGTTTTAGAGCATTCTCTTGTGCTTATGGGAGAAGGAGGACTGCTACTCCTCGGCTGGCTGCTGCACTATGTACCTTTCTATACTATGGGCCGTGTCCTCTACTACCACCACTACTTCCCTGCAATGCTCTTCAGCAGCATGCTAACAGGTACCAAATCCACTGCATTTTGGCTACCTCCTATTATATAGACCAGAGGTTTAAAAAAAAGTGTTTGCGTCAAATATGAACCCATAGACATACACATTTTTAGATTCAGTGTCACTTAACTTTCTAGGGATTAAAAACAATATAAACTTCCTAGGAAAAAAACACCACCTTTAAGTTCAGAACTTCTGAAAATCATCAGGTTTTTAACTTTTCTTCTATATCAGAGTAAACCAGGGATAGCTGTCTATACATCCATGAGTGTGCTGCAAACAGGAACTGTTATAGCTAATTTGGCCTACCTTTAATAGCCAGTTTGCCAAAATGTAAACAAATATAGGCTTAAATTGCCCTCATGTTGTTTTTGTCAATGACAATTACACTACCTTTTACACCCCCCAAAGTATTATGGGAACTGTAGTTCCAAATCTTAGAGCCTGGTTATCACCAAATCAAGTTTTCATGTTGCACAATCAGTATATTTATTATATACTGGTCACAGGGTTCCGGTTAAAGCTTTCTGATTATTTTTTCACAGGAATTACATTAGACATTCTGTTGAAAAGCGCTGACCTGCTACTCCGCCCACCTTATTGTGACTGGCTGCAGAGAGTCGGACAGATGGTATTTCTGTTCAGTGTTCTTTACAGGTGAGATGACTAGCAGAGTAATTACTATGAAGGAACATTTAAACACTGTCGTAAACAGTAGGCTGTATCATCAGTGTTTGATGTCTGTTGCATTTACATATTTCCTGAACTATTCCTCTAGCCACAGTCACATAACTTCCACCAAACAGAAGTGTGTTGTTTTAAGTTTAAAAGCTCCTTTTTTACTTTGTATAAACTGTAATGCTTTCTCTGTCAGTTTCTACCTGTTCCATCCACTCTCCTATGGTATGACTGGTCCTCTGGCACACGAGCCGGGCAGCGCCATGGCTGGACTGAAGTGGATGGACTCCTGGGAGTTCTAGTCAGCTCTGCACGAAGAAGACACCAATATTATATTATTATATTATGTTCTGAATATGAGGGACTTTAATCTACCATGCGTCTCACAGACTTAAGGTCTTAAAGGGTTTACACATAAAGTTAATTTTCACAAGGTACTACTTTAGAATCCCTACTTCTCCAAGTATTTATGTGTTAACATTTCCAAGTATTGTATGTACATCTATAATGTGATGAATGAAGAATGCTTTATAAGACGGACTTGAATCGGTGCAATATGAAAGCCAGTGAGTTTTTGAGAGTAAAGATTTAGACACTAATCATTACCAAGATGCCTTAACTCACAACACATCTCACATCCTGGACTTGTATATATACATATATGTGTGTGTGTGTGTATTTTATGTCACAATAATAAGCTAAAGTGCCTGAAAGGAGCTAATGAAAATAGATCAGAAAAGTTCAAATGCTGCATCTCCCTGTTCATCAAGAAAACACTTTTTGTTACGTAGGTATCAGAGTTCCTCAGAGAATGTATTTTTGTTTGCGATTGTCTTGATCTTAATGCCTGCTATTTTTGTATTAGTGGAGTCTAGTAATGGCTTCTGTTTTTACATTATGAGACTACTGCTGATTCTGTGTCATATGAACATTTTGGTATGATCAATAAACTATGATATTCTTGTAGTCTGTGCTTAATGATGTTCATAGGTTCAGTAACCATGCCACAAAAATCATAAATAAATAAAAGTTTAAATAAATAAATTCATGAAAAATATTAACTACAATTATACAAAAGGTTTAAATACTTTAAATAAAATCAGTGTATAGTTCTGCTTACAGTCTGATTCTGTCTGAAATTCTACATTATTTATAAATACGGAGTTTATTTATTCCACATAAAAATGATATAACAAATAATAAAAGTTATTCAATAGCTACAAACATGAAAATGAGATAATTTCTTGACATGCAGCTGTATTTACATATTCATGTAAGTAAAGGAGGCAGTTATGCTGTAACATACATAATATAATATACAGTGTATAACATTATATCTGGCTTCATCTTGATACCGGATTGTATCCTCTGACAGTAAACCAGTGGGCCGCCTGGTGGCGGGTTTGTGAAGTACACCGGTACGCGTCAACTCCAGGGACGGCTGCTGTGATTGGCTGTCGTTGATCACGTGTTTATTCTGAAGATGGCGTCTCCAAATGGAGGTAAATTCTAATTCCTTACTCTGCTATGCTGTGTATAAATTGTAAATTTGACATTATTACGGGGATTAAATCGTTAGCGAGTCCTGTGCTGTTTTACACGAACACCGAGAGACGACGGAATACACATGTTAGCGCTGTATTTGCACTGTTTGGAGATGTTTTCTCCCGTTGGCTAAAGCCTTCACTAGCCCCAGTGTTGTGTCTGTCCAGTGAACAGGGAAACACAGTAGGCATCGAGCTTGAACCACTCGTACAGTTTGAGCCACAGAGCTCAAACTGTGTGTGCTGCTACCTGTAAACAAAGCTAGCTCTGAAACTTGCTGCTGTAGTATATGCAGTCTGAATCACCTCTGTTTGTAATATGGGTAAAAGTGTTGTGTTTCACTGCATCGTGATTAGTTATGGGTTGTACTGGCGGTCGTCTTTCAATTCTTCACGTTTTTCCTCCCACATAACGTTATTGTTCTTACTGCAGACTATACACATTACTTTTGTAACGTTGTCACAATAAAGCACTCTCACAGTGTGCTGTATAATGCCATACAGTAGCCATCTGTGGGGATGTTTTGGGGGTTGCTGTGTGGTATGTTTGATGAACGCTGGCTGTATGCTTCATTGATTCAGTTTCTGTATGTTACTCATGCTTATATTCTCATATCTAAGTTATGTTGTTTAAGTTACCTATTTTCTTGTGTTTATGCCTGTATTTTTGTCTTGTCTTTCACTGTATAGCACATTGAATTTACTGATACTAAATTACTAATTGCCATTGCCATGGTTACTAACCGAAACATATAAATGTAATAAAATATAAAGTCAGGGGTGGAAAGTAACTGAGTACTTTAACTTATATACTGTACTGTACAATTCTGAGGTACAAGTACTTTACTTTATACTTCTACTCCACTATATTCCAGAGGAAAATCTGTACTTTTTACTCCTCTTCATTTGACTAAAGTCACTCGTTCCTTTGCAGATTCAGATTATAATGAACAAATATTATGATGTAATAGTATAGATTGAGATAAAACTTTATTGATCACCAGGGGGGAATTCACAGGCTACCAAACAGATAAAGTATATATATTATTTAAACTTAGCCCCACATTTACTACCATGCATCAGTTATTATAATCCAATAATATGATATACATCATTCTAAAATAGGCCCTTCTGCTTAATGAGTACTTTCACTTTTAGAACTTAAAGTATGTTTTGTAATACTTTTCTACACTGTGGTATTGTCACTTTTTAAGTGCAAAATCTGAAATATTGTTAAATTTATAAACTATACATGTAAACATGTAACTCCATATTTTTTTATTTTTGTCTTCCATGATGATGCTCTTATTTTAACTCATAGGTTTACATGTGCATCTTTATGTGCTACCAAAGGCATTGGCTTTTATTTAACATAGATTACATGACCTAACTTACAGTTACAAACATGGAGTAATGAAGCATGTCCACAATGTTCTGTTGTATGAAATTTGCATAAAAAAGTGAACATTTTCCTGCCAGATCAAACACACAAACATTGTATGTTACATTAATATACCATAAATGTACATTTCACAAAAACTGCTGCTCTAATTCATGTTCCTTTCTTGCCTGACTATGTGCCTGTGCCTATGGCATGCTTTATTTTTGGCCATGAAACTGAAACAGTTAGATGTTGTTTGTTATAGACTTTCACCAGTTCGGTTAAAGGAATGATAAATAACATGTTTTAGATGAAGAAATAAATGATATACTAATAACAGACAGCATTTAAATGACTAGATAAAACATACTTTATTTTAAAAAGGCACTACAGGATTTATTGTTTTAAAATGTACTTCGGGTCAGAGGTTCAGTGCTTTAGTAAAAGGCCGGCTATACTAGTTTAATTATAGTAGTGACATTTGGACAATTTCATCTTAATTCCTTCACTTCTGCTGTTCTGAGGTATACATGTACTCACTTTGGGTATCTCATCTCTGCTCGCACTTTTATTCTATCTGAAACTCTTCCATTAGATGATTTATAAATATGCATTTTCCTTATAAAATGTTTTTAAAAAATATTCTTTTTTGTGTCGTAATAGGTGACAATTTTGAGTCCTCTTTGCTGAGTTTTGAGAAGTTGGACAGAGCGTCACCAGACCTGTGGCCAGAGCAGTGTAAGTTTACATCCTCGCAGTTCTTGTGTAATTACTCACTATTAGATTGTGCATTATGTTGTTATAATATTGATTATCTCGTAATCTCTCATACAGTGCCCGGAGTTGCAGAATTTGCTGCATCTTGTAAAAATGTGAGTAAGATTCACTGTGGCTCGCTTCGATTTACAAACTAGATAATTAAATAGGCTTGGCATACTGCAATATATAGGCCTGATCTATAAATCTCTCTCTGTTGTTGTGTCTTACATCACAGCCCATCACTAATTCCCCCCCCAAGTGGATGGCTGAACTGGAGAGTGAGGATATTGAAATGTTGAAAGGTAAGTGTTATTATTTTGTCATTTTTTCTGTGTACCTGCGACAGTTGGTGTTAAACAGGAAGATTGTGGACAGAAATAGTCCTAACATATAATCCTGTCAAATAGGATAACATTTAGCCGAAACTAGTGACTGTACATGTAGCTAAGAGCTTTCATTATGGGTGCTGTTATCCTTCTGTAGAGCTGGGTAGTCTGACCACAGCCAACCTGATGGAGAAGGTCAAAGGACTTCAGAACCTCGCTTACCAGCTGGGATTAGAGGAGTGTGAGTACATGAACGATACGCAAACCGCACAATGTACAGTACAGGCAGTAAAAGGAATGGATGTTGATGCAACTCTAGGTGCCATGATATTAAAATGTTTTTGTTTGTTGCCCTTTCTGATCAAATTTGCTGCAAAACGCATTTAATCACAAGCCGTCTATAGTCAGTCACATGCCACCACTAGATGGTGCTCATAGCCTTTCTGTATCAAGCGCATGGTTTTTATATTATGCTTGTGTGCTTTCACATTCAAAACCCAAACAGGCTGACTGCACATTGGGTTATCTGTTTGTATCCAAAGACAGAATGTTGGGATTAAGAGCCAACTCTACATTTCTGTCAAACAACATAAATAAATAGACTTTGAGGTCTTAATTCAGGTCAGATCATGTATGTAGGTCAGTATTGTTGAATTGGAAAAGGTAAAGAAATAAGGGCATGCCCACAAGAGCCCATACAACAAGTGCTCAAGCATTTGATGGATGCAAAATCTAGTTTTTAATCTATTCCCCACTGCCTCCATTGTCATAATCCTTATGGAGTGTGGATTAGAGAGCTGTAGCTAAGTGCTCATATTTTCCTAGGAGAAAAATGGGTATTTATTTTCTAGTGAAAAAACACATAAGCAATAAATAATTGTGGTACATAACACCCCCTCCCCGCACACACAAATACACACACTTACTGGGGTGGAAGATATAAATAAATGCACATTTTCTCCCCAAGTCAGCCAACATGGTGGTACATAGTGCAGGCGAAGTGATCTGATGTAGACGGTGAGTTGAAACAACAAATGTAATATAAATCAAAATATGCCAAACATAATTTGGAAAAGCTTTGATGAAAATTTGAGAGATGCATAAGATGAAACTTTTTAATTATCTAAAGAGATCCTCAGTTTTCAGGCAAGGGAGCTGACTCCAGAGTGATTGAAATGTTTGCTCCAGTTATATAATTCCCTAATATCCCGATAGAGATACCACAGGAATCCTGAAAACCTGGATAAGAGTATCACTACGTATTAATAGGCTATAGATTGTGTAGCATGTGTTTTATTTGCATAGGCCGCGTGTCGCAAATTCATTTAGTTGAGAACGTGTTTAATCTCCCTGACTTCCCAAAACCCAGGGAAGCATGTAATCTGGCCGGTATAAAGATGTTAGCTGTCACAGGTGCAGGCCTGCAGGCTTTGCAATCATGTCATGTACCCCAGGATGACGGGACACAATGATGGTTATTATTGGTGTCGGAGCAGCCCTGTAATGGGTGCCTGTTTAATGCTCTCTGGTTTAATTTTCTCCTTTTCCTGGCTGTCAGGGGAGGCCTTGTAAATCTCAGCTACTTTTTCATCATGTTTGTGCACTCTTCAGTACCCGTAAACGAGACTCCGCAGAGGCACAGCAAAGCGAGGGCAGGGGACAGGATTTACTGCCCCTCCCCCTTCAACATGTGGACCATTAAAGAGGAAGCTGGTTAATGGGCAGAGCACAATCAAGCAGTGAAAACTCACCCACCCCACTGCAGCGAGAAAGGGGATCTGGACCAAACATTATTACAAGAACACCATTATCCTATGCATAGAATACACCTGACGAGCACTAGTGCAGGCTTCTGCTTTTTCTTGCAGACTGTGCACATATTGTAGTATTTCCATGTTTGTACATATGTATTAACATGAATGTAAAGGGGGGAATGTAACACACCCGTAACCACCCGTACCCACCCACCCACCCTCCCTCCACCCAGCACCCCCTCCCACCAGCACCCCCAATATGGGCTTGTGCGAAGCTGGCCCGGTCTAGTCCCAGAGGGGCTAGACGCGTGCCTCTTCCTCAGGCCCCAGCTGTTTCTCCAACCCATGATGAATGCCTCTGTCGTGGGCCGCTGAGCGTAGGCATCAAGCCCCGAGTCTCTGGGGAAAGCTGAGGACTCTGATAAGTGCTGTTATTGGAGGTAATTGAAAGCTGAGTGTTCCTTTGGGATGCAGTGGAGGGCCTCAACCACTGAGCACCAAACTGCTGGAGGTGGTGATGGTGCTCTATCACACTTGTGGGCTCAAGGCTACTGAATACCATTTAACACTTATCCGTGTTGTCAACTAGGAAGTGTTCTTACTGTAGACTTTGCTCGGGAATTTAGATGTTCTTTTTTACAGAAACACACAATGTGATTATAATTCCAGGGTAGTTCTTTTAGGAAAAGTTTTGATTAAAAACAAGGAAATGTAGAAAATTATGGCATTCATTATTTTCCACCAATTAGTCCCCTTTGAAACACGTACCTGTTCCTAAACCCTAGATCCGTTTTGCGTTTCCACTGCAGACGGTGCTCTTAAACTTAGGCGGGGTTGTTCCCGGATGGTAATGACCATGTCAACCACGCAAGTAGCATGACATCATATGTAACGTGAGACAGGAAAGGAACACAAAACCACAATGGAGGACTAGGATGTTGTTTTTTGACAATGTTTTCTGTTTTTCTTGTCGGTATGTGGCTGTCTATTACAACAAGGGGACAATCTTTTGTTTGATAAAAGCAAGACAAAAGGCCTCAACAAAAAAAATTAATTAAGTGGTTATATTAGTACCATCCACAACTTTTGCCAATGGAAGCGCAAAAATAACTATTCTAATGTGTAACGAACTGAACTGAACAGGACTGCTTGTTGGAAACGCGGCTATTTATAGGAGTTCAAGTGAACTGTGTCTTTGACTGACTCACAACAGGGGTTGAATAAGAGCTAAGAAGGTATCCTTTAAAGTGTACAGAGTATAAACATCAATGTTAGAAGTTATTGTGGTGAGTAGGCATCTTTATGAGTTGATAACAGCGAGAAACTAGTTTGCCTCCTTAAGTGGGACCAAAATCTGTGACATAGACTAACATAAATGTATGTTTACCCAGATCTAAAAATGTTACTCATCAGTCATTAGTCACTTCATTTTTAAACAACACAGCATGCTGGTGATATCGCCATATTACCATTATCAAAAACTTTGATATCACGCTAAAAACAGCATCACTCAGTGTATTCTGGGTGTAGCACCACCTGTAGCACCTGTCCTCCACCGTGATGCCACCCGGTGTAGACCCAGACCTGACCCCCGTTGCCTCTGCCCGTGTGAAGGTGAGACTGAAGGTCGCCCTGCCATGACAGCTCCTAATGGGCCCCGCATTCAACACCTCCTCCTCCTCACCCTCCTCCTCCTCCTCACCCTTAGGATCAATCTCCGGCCTATTAGAAGCATGCCGCTGCTGAATATGATTGCATTCACTGGGCCCCACTGGTGCTAATGTGCCTCCATCAATCCATCAGGCAGGCTGACCGTGGGGCGGGCGGTTATGAAGTGCCTGAGCTGACAGCCGCTGAATGAGGAACAGGGGATGCCTTCCCCACTACCCTTCCTCCTCCTTCTCACCTCTACTACTCCTCTGTGCTCGTCTTCTCACCTCTCCCCCCTGTCTCTCCATAGTTGCGATGAAAGGCAGCGCTGTGTCTCGTCCCTTTTGAAGGTGACACCTCCGCTGTAAAGAAAGTGAAACCAGGATCAAGGGTGGTTCAGTTGTTATCATCTTATTATTCAGTACCATCAGGCTTTATGTGGTTAGTTCTCTTAAATTGGCTCCCATCTTCTTTTTGCTATTTTTCAATAGCTCTGCAGCTATAGCGGTGGCCCAATCTTTAGCAACTCCACACACATTTTGCAACAGGGTGACACGAGTGTCTCCTTCCTCGTTGTAGCAGGTTGCAGCTGTATCTGATGGAGCCTGCCCGTATCTTAAACAGGATCAGTGTCGGAGTTGTGTGAAAGCAGTGGCAGGCAGAGCTTAACACACAAACACACGCGCACACAAACACACTGCTCCTCAGTTCTCCCTGCCTGCCGCCTCCCTGAGTAGATCGGAAATGACACCTCATTTCCATAAAGGCATTAGGAATTCATTGGATTTTCTTTCCCAGCTAATCATAGTGAGGGTGTAAAACCTTTTAGGCTTTTTAATGAATGATTTTTGACTGATTGCCTATTAATAAGGACACCTCTTGAACAGGCATAGGCTGGGGCAGGGGTTGGGAGGTGCAGATGTGTTTGTTTTGGTGTGTGTGTGTGTGTCAGCCAGGCGAAAATACATTGGAGAAGGAGGAGGAGGAGAGGAGGGGTGGGCCCTCTCGGTTGGGACATAAAGAGGAACCAGTGGCTCCCCTGGGAAATCACAGCTCGTGTCTGCATCTTAAATATCCCTGTGAAGTATCAATAAGTGGGTAATTGAATCTTATGAACAGCAACAATGAGCAGTCAAGTGTTTATGTGTTTTGCAAGACGGGCGGATGCTGGGGGGGCTTATGGGAGGTGGGGGGGCGTGAGGCTGAGTGTGTGGTGCCCTCCTAGTGTTTTCTCTTGCTGTGATGTTTGTGTTTTCATCTCCCTCTGTTCTCTCGATTGTTCCCAGTGGGGAGGCGGTGAAAGAGATTGTGTAAATCCATTAAAATATTGTCAAGCTTACGGGCCGTGATACTGAGCATGCGCTCTGAGATGGGCAGCCTTCTGGGGGTCAGATAGTCCCTCTTAACTCTTAATGCAAAGTAATTGGGGCAGTCAGGGCCCGGGTCCAGGACTCCCAGGTGTATCAACCCAGGTTGTCAATCTGTTCCTCATTGGAGCTAACCGGGATCCAGCGGTTCCACCGACAGAAAAGCAGTGCATCGAACGCGAGGCAGGCATGTGGCGGGGGGGGGGGGAAAGAGTGAATGATTAGCTCTCATGTTTATACAACAGGGGAGTGGTGGTGGCTGGGAAGGGGCTGTGACAATGACACCAGATCACTCACCGTGAAACGAGGAAAAGTAAAAGATGTTACACCGCGCGTTTCCTCTGAATTTACATTTTGAGCCACCTGGGATCTTCCAAATGAAACATGACTTGCCAGTGCGGAGCCACAGACGAATTGCAACATTTCGGTTGCACCATCTCCTACGGTTTTAGTCCTCTTGCTGTTTTAATTTTACAAAAAGGGCATTATTTTTAAATAGCCCTCAGGCCATATTAGCTGTTGTGGGCGCAGATATAGTTAATCCTTTCGGTACTTCAATGTTACCCACTTGGCAACAGTAACAGGTCTAATCCTACAGCCCAGAGGATTTACTCGCGGCCTGATGTGGGAGTCTAGGGGGGCACAGGAGCCCTCCCAGCAGACTCCTCTGTTATCCCTGTTATCTGCTTCTTTACTGGATGCCCCGTCTGCAAACATGTCCTCAGCTTCAAATCCTGATGATAACCTGGCTAAACTGTGTTTGTTTTATCGGATACAAAAAATGATCTCTAATGCTAGCATATATGCAGTCAAAAAAATTGATAGAAATTCTAACATATGCATCAAACTATTATAATATATATTAATGAAGATATGCCATAATATAGTATATAATATAATATACTATACTACATACGATAATAGTTATACTATATATATACACATGTTTACTGAACTACAAGTAGAATGTGATGGAATCTGAGACCGGTTTTGGGCTAAATGATAATTAGATTGCTACAAATCAACAGGGCAAGGTGATGGCCCACAGAATCCATAAGGTGTCATTTAGTATGGATGGCAGTCGTAACAAGATGCTGATTAACTTAGTGCAAAATTAGTAATTGACCTTTCTAATCAACTAAACAAATCTCTAAGTCCCCCTAATCAGTATTGATCTCCCCCATTGTATGACAAAGCCTGTGTGTGTGCATGCGTGTGCGTGGGTGTGAGGGCCTGTGCTTTTAGGGCTTTCAATCTGTATATGTAAATCTTACAAAAATGTACAATTACTCGTTGCAAAAATAACTTTATAAATAATTTGTACTGTAACAAGTTAGTGTAGCAAAGTAAAAAAAAAAAAATTTAAATAAACCATTAAGCATTTCCTATTTTCACATTTTACTACCTGTTAGCATTGGCCTTTTTCACCAAAGACATTTTGACATGTCAGTGTAAATGATAAAATTCATGATGGCTGAATTCTATTTCGTTCACTTCCAGAGTCCTGATATTGCATGCTGGCTCACTGACACTATCCATCCTAATGTAGCACAAATTATAAACAAATATCCACATAATTGGCAAAAGAAAAGGTGACTGAATGTATGTTCCCGTCTACTACCATTATGCAAATATTAGAAGTTGGTTGCAATAATTCTCAAGTCGGGTGTCGTTAAACCATTGCAGTTGAAGAGGCTGCAGCGAGATGACGTGACGAAAAGAATGTCAGTCACACCTCAAACAAATGAAAACGATATGGAAAACCTGATGGAAATATGGCCCTTACATTTGTTTCATGTATTAATTTGATGAACGTTAAGTCATCAGCTCCACACAGATCATCAGTGGATGTTTTATGTCAGTCGTGATTTATTTGTTAAGTCTGTTTTCAGTTCTGCTTTTTATCAATACACAAACTTTCCACCTCAGCCAGGTGTAGAAACTAAAAAAAATACTTTTTTCCAGTGTTTCCACTCAGGTCTTTTTATGCACTAAAACAGGTGGATGGAAACGCCCTTATGGCTCAGTGGGGCACTTGACTAGAACAGAGCCATTGTTAGTGTTATTAGTGGAGCTTTTCTTATCGCACCATGTGAAAAACTCCTTCTGTAGCTCAGTGTTCCCACTATATATGCCTTTAGTTAGAGTTTGTCTTGCATTGCATTCTTTCCAACCTTTCATATTCCGTAATAAATTGCTGATGTCTGAATTTTGGTTGGCCTCGTCACCAACGCAGACCACCACCTTCACCTTGCCAATCACAACGCCTCTCCCCATAATTCCTTTTTATAAAAAGAGAGCCACACATCATAAATTGAGCACTGATTTATGTTTAATGGGGTCTTTAATGTGATGATATCAATGATATTTCTATCTGAGTAGGGGGAGGGTGAACTGAACCGTAATTAATGAGACGCTCAGTGGGGCGAGGGGTCTCGGGAGGAGTGGCAGCCATCCTTGATCTGTTTTACAGTTTGGGCTCATCAAGAGACGGAGAGAGCGATAACAAGAGAGAGAAGCATGACACCTTAAAACTCTAAAATATTAACTGCTACCCTTTACCTTTCCTAGTGTAACTGCTCCTAATAAGAAAGCGCCTGCAGCATTAGGGTCATCTCAATGTAATTGCTTTCCCTCGCCTAATTTTGATGGCTTCATTTCAATCTAAAGCACCCTCTGCATGTCCAGGGGTCCTCTGATGACTTTGTTTAGGGTGATTTGAAGAGACAGCAAAGTGCAAAATGAATCCATCCCATTCCAATTAGCATCATCTTTAACCTAATGAGGGACACCTCAAGGTGACGTGGCCCCCACGCCCAGATGCACCATTATCATTCCGCACTGGGCAACTCATCTAAATTACTAGCTGGCCCGGCTTTTTCATTAGCCGCCGTGGGCAGGGGAGGCGGGGCCCCTTCACACCAGCACACAGTGCAGACAGCAGCTAGCTGAGATCCTGATCACGGGCAGGCATCATGAAGGTGGTTGACACTGCTTAATGTCTGTTTGAAATCAGTCCTCTCTGCTGCTCTGTAGGCTTATATTTGTGTGATGTACAAGGTTAGTTAGAAACTGAATGGAGTCGCTGAGGTGATCTTTGGCAGCTCATAAAACCCACAGTGGAGCCGAGAGCCTGATCCTCTTCTCATCTTTAACAAAGAGTAATTACTGTACCTGGATGGCGCCTCCGCAGGGTTTATGATGATGCTGCAGGAAAGTCTCTACAGTCTCTATAGTGACACAAGAGTTTGTCTTTGACAGAAAAGCCTCAGCAATGATTGCTGTCCCAGAGAAGAACAGTTTCACAAAGGGTCTTCTGCAGGGACAGATCTGTTGTAAGACTGAATATGGCACAGAGTTAACACACTAGTTCACTGGATCCCACCCAGACATATTGGTGTTTTGGGACTTTAACCATTTCAGTTAGAGTTTTACACTCTACAGAGTATGGGGGAATGAGTAGAGTTGGGAAATATTTGCATTCAATACAATAATGTCAATTGTGTAACTGTACATTCATTCATAGGGAAAAGTCATATGGTCTCAGAAAAAATCTAAATTTTATTTTATTTTTATTTTTTATTAATGCAAAATCCAAGATTTTTAGAAGTATGCAAAAATACAGTTATCCAGAAGTTTAGGAAAATTGCAGTAAATGTAGAAAGGTTTGAACAATAAACATAGTTTTAAATATATATGTTTTGCATAATTTCCTATTCCCTTAAACATCTAAATGTCACTTAATTTAGACGTGATCATATATTCCATAATCACAAGTTGAGGTTAATACAGACATTTTGCTTTTATTCTCTTTCATCTCTGTGAACTGCAGACACACAAACACACACTTTCATGCAAGCGTCTGTCTGAGTGCTCGTACCTCACTACACTGAGACAGCAATCAAGCAAATCACAAGACTCTTTGGTGGCTACGTCTCCATTTTATGTTGTTTTCCATGTCCTGAATGAACAGATGTTTGTATAAATTACCTCCCAGTGTGACACTGCAGATATTAAATACATGCTCTGCATTACTAAACAACAGTTCTGAAGTTGTTTGAGCTGCAGGATTACAATGTAATGTGTGTCAGTCTTACACAACATTACATTGGAAGACTTGATAAGACTTAATTTTTATTTTATTTTACCAACTCATGAAACATTGTTTAAAGGGTTTAAAAGGTTACTAAAGTCCTTACGAGTGTAATAAGTTGTTAAAAATCAGGTCTTTTTACCTATGCAATGGTTTATTTCGTATATGTGATGTTGTGTCTTCTTGTTTTCCAGCCAGAGAAATGACCAGAGGGAAGTTTCTGAACATCTTGGAGAGGCCCAAGAAGTGACTTCTTTTTTGTTTTTTGTTTTTTTGCAAACAGGAAATGTGGGACTGCCAGGTGAATCAGATCTATGCGTTTACCAATATGTTCTGAACATGTTCACACCTTCACATCAAAGTTCAAAGACTTTGCACTCAAACCCTAAATTGGAGCAAAGTGCTCACTCACACACACAGTGAGGTCTTCAGTGCACCCGTTATCCCCCTATAGATAGATGCCTTTACATTTATGGAAACTCCAAATGATTTAATACCTCCTTACCGAATTTCTCTGTAGCTTGTAGACCTGCTTTGATTAAATGTTCCCTATTTATTGTTATTTCTATTTTAAACATGATTTACATTTTTTGCAAATTGTCAAGTTGTATAATAAAGTTTTAAAACGAAAAAGACGATTGCCTATTATTTAAAATCCCCTTGAATGATTAAGTTTGCAGCCGAAGCAGCTAACTTTGGTGATGCAACCGTCTTTAGAGACTGTTCAACTTTTAATCAGGGCAATAACTTCATGCCTTTCATTCCACAAAGTGCAGCACCTCTCCGGCTGTGGACATGTAAGGAGCTCCGACATGAGAGTGCTTTCCCGGCTACCAGGGCATGTTTTCCATTTAATGAGCATTGGAAACAGGGTCCCCTACACAAAACATTGCGTAAAAATAATATTGCTCATTGTCATCGCCCATAATGAGAGTTGACATAATTACTAGGACCATTTCTTTTCTAATTAGCACACTTCGGCCTTGTCGGAGCTAGCGGCCAGGCAAAAAGAGAATCAGACAGGCATGCCGAATGGGAAACAAAAAGAAGTCCATCCGCCATAATTAGGTAAGACAATGCCTCGGACTGTTCTCGGCTGGAGATGTCGCTGAGGCTCTGGTCGCTCACTCCCAACAAGTTACACTTCTCCCCAGGCTGCTAATAAGCCCCTAATCGTCTTTCCGATTCACACGGACAGAGGCCGCCATTGCCTCAGTGGCTTCACCCCCTGCCTCTCACACGGACCCTGGTTCACCCCTTTTGAAAAATATGGGTTATTTATACAGTTCTGCAGGTTTCAGACAGAGTTTGTGGATCCTGGAACACAGCATGGCCTGGTGGAAGGAAGATGCCAGAAAGTGCATTTAATCTCTGCTGTGTCCAAATATTGTGGTTTGAAGGTTTTTTACATACGTAAAAGCACAAATCAAATAAAAAACAAAAGTTGAGCCTCCCACTATCCCAAATCACATCAAAAAAAACAAAATCTAATATTTTCTGATGCTATTGAAAGTTTCTGTACTGTTACACGATTAATGCATGAACAGCCAACTAAATTCCTATTCCATAGTGGTGCCTATACCACTTTTTAGTAAGACACCCTTTATACAATCTGTGAGTTGTAACTAATGGCTTTATTAATAATAATGCTTAATAATGCTTTGTACTGATCAATAAGCCATTAATAAGAAACATTTCGGGTTGACACAAGTTGTGTAAAATTAATTTGAATGGTGTTTATCCTCCTCCAGCACTTGCTTCCTCTGGAAAAGAGTTAGAGCATGTGGCTGTGCATCTATTTATAACAACATTTTTTTTAAATATATATATGCTACTGCTATATGCAGCATATGCATACATATTTATACATATATGTAATTACCTATTAACATTTATAACTGCAAAATTATTAGAAAGTGTACATTGCACTGCAAACACTTTTAGCCGCAATATTACCAAGTAGAAAGGATAAACAACAATAAACCAGCAACCCAGCTGTTGTTTGGGTCATGAAACCTACTTACAACTTAACCAGGGTTGTAAGTAATGGTTATTCAGGGTATTCAGATCCTTGCAAAAGTAAAAGTAAAAAATACTCCATTACAAGTAAAAGTTAAAGGATTATTAGCTAAATGTAAAATAAAAGCACTGCAAGAAAATAGCCTTATAGTGTGGCTTATTTTATTGTTTATTAGTATAATTTGTTTTTAACGGTTTTATATATGTTTATGTAGTTCAATCTATAAAAATGTGTCATATTTTATAAGATAATGTGCTTTGTTTGTAAATTCTGTAGCTGTCAAATAAATCTAGTGGAATAAAAACTACAATTACTACCTCTAGAAATATAAAGCACTCAATATGGATCAGTAAATTCCATATCAACTCTTTGACCTTTAACTTTTAGTAGCCACTAACTCCTGGAGGTGACCCTGCTGTCACTGGGCAGGTTGCATGTAGACACTTGTTGCTGCTGACTGATGATCATTCAGTCCGCGCAGCGTTGACGTTGTAAGCGACCTGACATCCTCAATATGTTGCACGCACTGGTGGCTGCCTGTCACCCGCAGCCTCCCTGCAGCCAAACAGCCTCTTCAAGAAAAACCAGTCAGTCCCCTGCAGAGCCGGTCATTCATATGGAGAGAGCTCCTCCATCCATCCATCCACCCGTCCGCAGTGCGTTGCCTCGACCTCACATGGCCCCTGTGCCCCGACAAACGTCAATCCGATGTGCCCTGAGTCCTTAAATTAGCTGTCAATTAGTGCAAATTAATCAACTCCTCGCCTAATTAAGCAATGCCGACGGGCAGCTACCAAACATGCCATTGTGGAGGAGCCATGAGAAAGCTGCGGGGCTTGCAAACTCTTTCTGTGCTGGGTAGAAGGAGGAGGAGGGGGGAGAATCACATCACATCACGCCCTGCAAGTGCTTTGGGAAAGCAGAGGCTCTGGCTGTGCTTTAGATTTTCCCCTGACTCGGCTCTACATGTGTGCTGTCATCAACTTTCCTGCACCCTGTTTCAACACCGAAGGTGCAGCTTGATTCAGCAACTACAGACTGAGCACATGCAGCAGATGAGTTTAACTCCACTTTGATCAGCCTGTTCAAAAATGCATATTGAAAGCACCCGTATTAAAGGATAAAGGTTCATATATACAGAGGCATTGGGGTCACATGAGCAATGGGGCCTGCTGGGGGTCGGTTATATTCCTGCTGTGACCTTCCTGCAGAGAAAAAGTTGCTTATGCATTATTGCAAATGCATTACAAGCTGTAAGAGTCACATCAGCAGGATGTGATATTCAGTATAATGGGCGGTTTTTACTTACAGCTCTTTATTAGTTGTTGACCTGCTGCAGACTGTTTGAAGGTCACAGGCTGGATGCGTTTATCACGCACACTTTGTTCCTAATTTTTGCATTAGGGCCTACAAAAAAATATATAATTTTTGCCATAGCAGAAAGCGAAGGAGTGAAGGGAGCCGAGGAAGGATGCGGGGTTGGAGTGGAGTGGGGGATAAACAAAAATTTCCCAACAGCTGCTTTCTTTTTAATCTGCAGCCGTCAGATCCTGCAGGTCTTTGATGGGCAACCCAATCTACACGAGTGACTGAACTAAATCTTCCCTTAATCTAGAGCCTTATTAGGCGGGCCCTCTTCTGCATGTAATCAACATGCATCCACTTTCACATGAGATGGGTTAATAAAAAGCTATACAGAGAGGAGACGTGTTGCACTATCAACAAACAAACAAAAAAACAAAACAAAAAAATCCCCCGCCTGTATAGATTGCAGCAGAAGGGATGATGGAGTGAGCGGGAGCAGTAGGTTGCCTGTAATTGACGGGTCATCCTGACTCACACCCTTCCATGTTAATAACTGACTTGATCCCAACAGGCTGATGTGTCATTAGCATATCCTGATAACATTGATTTCTTCATTAATAGAATTTCCACTAAATAGGCCCTAATTAGTTTCAACTGGCCAGCCTCTAATTGCAGCAGCAATAGTTTCCTCCTTCATCAGCAGCTCGTTTCACACTGTTTGATATGAAATATGAGTTTGCCGGGAGGATCTGTCTCCTGTCTCAGGCACAGTTCATACAGTTTTTGGTTAATTTTGTCATGTTGTGTGCATTATGTGTTTTGCTGTGTAATTGTCATGCGTTTCCTTATTCCATTATTTTTGCATTAAGGCTTTGATGATGCGTATGCGAGTGAAATCTGAATCTATTGGAAGCCAATGTACACATGCATATGCACAGAATTTGTTTTTTTCTAATTTTGATTTCCAAACAAATTGATGCCAATGTAAAAAACATTAAAATTACCACAAGCAAATCCACATATATTCGGGTCACTCCACGAGTTTTAATGTCAAAATGAGCTTTATGACAGTGAGAGTACTCTCTATTTTAACCCTCGACACTCATTATCTGATTGACACTGAAACACCAAAGAAGAAAGGTCTAATTATAAGCATATCTTTCTCCCTTTTTTTATGCATTTATGTCAGAAAATAACAAATTAAATTTTTTTTAATTAGGCCAACATGCAAAAACTGACGCCAACTAAAAATGCAAATGCAAAAATTACACTAATTGTATTCAAAATATCAATAAACCAGCATGATTCATCAACTTCCTGAAACCAAAATGTCCCGTTATTTTACTAAAGTTAATGTTTGAGGCCTACATGACCTGCCAGC